TGGTACTGTAGACCGGGGTACTGTGGGCGGCCTACTGTAGACAAGCCACTATAGCTCGGGGGTGCTGTTCACACAGATATATCCGTTGATCCTTGATCAGACGGTGGGGAGAGGGTGTAGACAAGCCACTATAGCTCGGGGGTGCTGTTCACACAGATATATCCGTTGATCCTTGATCAGACGGTGGGGAGAGGGTAGCCAATCACCATACTGTTCACCGGTGACTTGCTCACAGCAAGTCACTCCGATCTCAATCAGTCCAGAGTTTCGCTGAGTAATACTCTTCCAACGTTGGCAGGCTTGCTGTCATGGGACATGGAGTCAGGCATCTTTGCTCTAATTTCATCTTTCTTTGAATGTATCAGTAGAGGTTTCTTGGGGGCGCACGAGAAGACGAAGCAAGGGCCACGTTAACAATATTTGGTCTTGGTCATGCATGCGAGTGGAGCTTGTCAATGGAACGATGCAAAAAAACCGAAAGCTCACGGGGAACTGAAGAAGAATGTAGGCAAAGGCCCTTCGACTATCTTCATAACCAAACTGGAAGAGCAAGTAAATTACTAAGCATCATAATACAATGTCTCGGTCCCTAACCGATGAGGTGGTGGTACATTTGATGCGTGCACGACTCAAAGATTCAGAAATATAACAAGAAAAATCCATACAGCCCATGGTGTGCGGATTAGCTAGCGCTTTGCCGCGCCTGGACGAGGCCCAAAATAGTTCGTCACCAAACCCATGACAGCAAACCTGGCAATATTGCAAATTTCAGTACATCAGGAAACTGAAGGGCCAAATATTATAGTACAAGTAAACCAAGATATCAGACACTGTATTTGTAGACAAAGCATGATATGTGGATATGTTTTCTAGAGGATATGGATAGTTGTTCCGGTAATGCAAACTGGCTACCAAGAGTGAAAATACCACCCACTGAAACTACGTACTCCCTCCGATCCATATTAATTGACGCTGGTCTAGTACAAAGTTGTACCAACTTTGCACTAAACCAGCGTCAGTTAATTTGGACCGGAGGGAGTACCAACTCCCTATCTCTATGCATACTGGTGGTTTGTCAATTAACATTTTGTTCAGTTAGTAGATGGTGTTCTCATACTAAACCCATATTTATCTCTTATCTCTCAACTCTACCAAGTAATCAAACAGAAAGATATTTCGGTGGTGATAAAGAAGAAACCTCCATGCCCTATATGATGAGTGGATATATGAAGAATTTTCAACACAGTTCCTGTTATCCCAAGTATCCTTTTGGTTCATCGAATTACATTTCTACTTAGTTCAGAGACAAGCAGCATTTACACTAAATTTTATGAACAATGATAACCAATCAACCAGTACAAAATGGTGAGACATGAAAGGCCGAAAGGGCATTCAACTTTAATATCATTCTACTGAGCAAATCATCTTCATCAGTCACAATTCTTAGTGTGTACTCCCTCCGTAAATTAATATAAGAGTGTTTAGAATACTAAAATAGTGATCTAAACGCTCTTATATTAGTTTACAGAGGGAGTACTCTCTAGTTCTTATTTACTTTGGACCAGATTGCTGTATTGACCTCACCAGTCACCAATATCCATGACAAGTCAACTCTAGTGACAATAATGGAACGCTAACGACCAGCTAATTAGTCATGACAATCTTTTTGACTGTAACTAGTAGCCTGCTGTTTCACAATAGACATACAATTTCTAGGGTGATAACTGTTCCTTAAAAATTGCAAAGGCAAACCATCCCTAAAATTTGCTCTGATCTACAGCACACAATGTGATTTGCCTTCTACGCAACACTTGTTTAATTTTTTTTTTCAAACAACCTTCCGGCCAGATTCCTCTATCATATCGATGACGGAACAACAACATTCAAGCATCCATGTGCATATACCAAACAAAACAAAAGCTAGATCTAAAGGTCACAAATGCTAGCCCAAGAGAAAGTACACAACCTTAGGACTGCCAAAACAGGATCCAGCACCAAAAACAAGCAAGATAAGAAAAAACCAGAGTAGAAACACGTGTTTACTTTACTGTAAAGAATTAAAAAAAAGGTGTTCCATAAGGGCACACACTATCCTTTATCAGGTGATAGTTCATTAGTTCCTTCTGTACTTGTACAAATGGTAGAATTTTAGAAGAGAATGAACAAGCTGTCTATAAAAATCCATTAAAATTTTGGCACACAGCCACCCAGTGTTTCTAGCTTCCAGTATTGGCATGTTTAGTTAGAAAAAAAATTGTGGCACGGCAGCACTTTGCTAGGAATTCGGCCACACATGTAAAAAATTCTTAAAAAAGGCAAGGACGAAAGTTTAAAGTGATCTTAACATCAATGTGAAGGCGCATTTCCATAACATCAATAATAAAAGAAGGCCTACAATACCATTTTGACTTACTTCCATCAAGAATTACAGAAGAAAGCCATAAATCCTATTCTGTCTCAATGATGCAACCCATAAATCATTATTCCAATGTTACAAAATAAGCCACAAATTAAGGAGCTCTGATAGCGAATGGCCAAAGAGGGAGAAACTACGAAAACCACCATTTAATTGCATAATCCCACCACAAGTGGCAACACAAAAAGGACATGTTAATTGAGAATTCCCAGTATATACAAAGACAAGATGTCAGATGACCCAATGCAAAGGTATATGCTGCTGCTCAACCATATAGATTTTAACTGCATACTAGATTAACACATAAACTAGATAAATAAATGTGAAGAAAACTCACATGAAAGCCATGGAGAGCTGCTTGAGGTCATTCTCGAAGTTCTTCATGTTCGCCAGCGACTGCGCGCAGAAGATGATGGCGATCCACGAGCAAACCTTGTACTGTATGTAAAAAACCACATAGCAAAGTCAAACGTCACAACGGAACCAGCAGGAATCAAAGTCAGACAGTCTAGCAGCATCGGATTAACTAAGGCGAAGGCATCATCTCCGCCGACTACGGAGGGGCGCACAGATCCATCACACCACAAGGCACTAGCTCGCCCAGATCTAAGTGCCCAGCCGCTAACCTGCCGCTGCTCCCTACCGATAAACTAGATCGATCCGTGCGGCAGGACGACGGGCGGGCGCGCAGATAGACAGGAGGCGCGGCGGAGATCGTTTGCTGGCTAGGAGCACGTACGTGGAGCATGACGCCGACGAGGACCAAGACGACGAGAGGTCGAAAATACTGGGGCGTAGACTGGGGCGCAGGCGGGGGCGTAGGCGGATAGGAGGCGCGAGGGCGAGCAACGCGTGGCCGAGACTGCCTGGTTGGCTGGAACGTACGTGGAGCATGACGCCGACGACGCCGAAGACGACGGCGAGGAAGCCCGCGTAGTCGACGGGCAGGTCCTGCGACGACAGCTTCGGCGGCGCGTACGGCCTCGCCGTCCCCGGCTGCCTCGGGTCGTTCGGCCCCGCCGCCGCGCCGCCCCCCGACGCCGTCGCCTCCTTCATCTCTCCCCCACTTCTCTCCTTTTCTCCCCCTGATCTGAAAAGACGATCTGAACCAAGGAGAGAAACCGAAGAGGAAACCGAGATACGGATTAGAAGGCAGCACGCCTCCTGCTGAATGGCTAAAAGAAAAACGTTTGGGCCTGGGCGGCCGGCCCGGTGCGGCCCACGGCCCGGCCCCACGCGGGTTGAAAAGTCAAAGCGCGAGTCTTCCCGACCACGCCCCCACCACTTCACTCCGCCTCCGCTCCCCTTTCCTGTCGCCGCTCTGACGACACACTGCTGCGCCTTCTCCCCCTCTTCACTCTCCACCCACCAGCGGCCCCAAAACCCTAGCCGGGGAGCTCGGCCCGCCGCGGGGAGGTAGCGCGGAGGAGCTCCGCCCTCGCGCCGCCGCACCGCGCCCTCGGCCGCCGCCTGCTGCGTGTCGCCATTCCTCGGTAAGCCCTGCGGCTCCTCGCTAAACCTTCCTGCTTGCGCTGCGTGCCCGCTTGGGTTCGGCTCTCCGGGCGAGCGGTGAGGCTCGGCTCCGCAATGTCGGGCTGGTTGAGCGGTGCTGGGAGCGCGCTCGATGCGTGTGTGTTTTGTGGCGTGCTCAAACAGTACCTTAGGGTTTTAGTTGGTTAATTAGGTGTGGTGGTGCTAAGCTCGGCTCCTGACTTTGGGTAGAATCTGCACTGCCTTACTGTTGTAGTTTCTGGATGACATTCGCTGTGACGTGCGTTTGGTTTTACTGGCTTGCTGGCCACATGCATGGAAGGTTCTTGGTGGTGGTGATAGGTAATTGAGGAGGGGTCATGGTCAGTCCGTCAGTGTAGGAGTGCAAGTTTGTTTTTGTTAAAATACTGAATTATAGCCTACTAATTAGCTCGAATGCTCTGATTCAATTTAGTTTGTTCGATTTTTGTGATGAAGATTCAGGTGTCCTGTAATGCATATGGTTTTGAGATGCGCCCTCGTGCCGATTTGCATGTCCGCAAATCGACCGAGTTACTGAAATGTTAACAATATAATGCTCTGATTTAATTTAGTTTGTACTCCCTCCGTCCGGAATTAACTGTCGCTGAAATGAGTGTATCTACACGCTGAAAATGCATCTAGATACACTCATTTCAGCGACAGTTAAATGCATGTAGACACACTCATTTCAGCGACAGTTAAATGCGTGTAGACACTCATTTCAGCGACAGTTAATTCCGGACGGAGGTTGTATGATTTTTGTGATGAAGATTCAAGTGTCCTGTAATGCATGTGGTTTTGAGAATGCTGTGCTCTCGTGCTGATTTGCATCTATACAAATCGACCGAGTTACTGAAATGTGAATAATTTCAAGGGAAGAAAGCAGAGTTACATGCTCTTTTAAGGAGGAAATAGATAGTGTTCTGTTATGCACCCCCATTTGACCTGAACTAATATTTCTCTCATGCTTAATTTTTTGACTGTAGGTACTCTCCATTGCCAGGAAACCAGTGGTCACTCAGTCAACCAGTCAAAATGCAGTTCCAGTCTGGCAACTGTGCCAAAACGTTGGCAAAAGTAGATGGATCTGGTGCAAAAGATTTGTCAGTCGGCCCAAGCACATTTGGTTTTCCACAAGATGCTAATCAGGAATATTTTAACCAGGCTTGCCAGTGCAGTTATCCAGTTTCAACGCAAGGCTTTCCAGATTTACCAAGCGTTCCAGATTTTGTTCTGAATAATGCTTCTGCTGCACTCAGGGAATATCAACAATTTGACCACTTTTTCAGACCACTTCAGCCTCTGGCACCTGATGGAAACCAGGTGCAAAATAGTGGCATAAATACCGCACATCGCAGTAGACCTTCTAATGCATCCTCCTGCCTTGATCATGTAGAAGAAATAACTTCTCATGACACGGATGGTTATGACGACAGAGCTATCTCATTTGGGAGTAGCTGCAGCACAGGAATTGCGTGTTATCCATATAGTAGCCCTATGCAAAGTGATGACTGCATTGCAGACACGCAGGATGGGACCTGGGCTGCTCTTATGCAAATGCAACAGGCTTTGGAGGCGGCTAATGATGAGTGCAGTGACTTGACTTTCAATAACACAGAACTTTCAGGTGGGAATACCATGCAGCATCAAGTTGTTTGGGACAATGGCTGTTTAGCAAGTCCGTCTTTCACCTCAAACTTTTTACCCTTCCCTGGAGAGGCTGAAACCACGGTCACAAGTACCAGCGCTATGTTTAACTTACATAACTCTGTTGATCTCCCGTATGATAATGATCAAGACATATCATCTTTTGAGCTCAAAGTAGCTGAACAGAAAGAGGCAACCACAAGCCATGTTTGTGAACATCGAGATGAAATGCATTCTGCTGAACAGGGGGGAAATCCTGGCCACGACGGATCTTTTGATTTGACAATAACCCAGGACAGACAGTTCAGTTCATTTGTTAATGGTGCAAATGGATCTGTAGATAGTGGAATGAACCTTTATGATTGTGAAGAGCAAATGGAAATTGATTCACTCCTAAGTTCATTTGGAGCATCAAGTGATACCTTTGCACAGACATATGAAATGTTACAGAAAGGGTAAACGGAAATTTTGCAATCTCATCTTATCATTGCTGTGACTATGTGACTGAATTCTTGATTTTACCCTCTCCTTTTAAGTTCAAACTAGAAACCTGCAAGCTCTCTCTCACAGAATTATAGTTGTTCTATTGAATATAAATCTTGAAACTCTTGCTACATAAAGGTGCAATTATTAGTTTAGTTGTTGATGCTCCATTAGTAGTGCCAATGCTTCTTCTTGCTGTTGCTGAAACAGCAAAATGATGCCTGGAAGCACCTATAGTAATAGTGGTAACAAAAAAATTAAGATATATTTTCAGTATGCTTTCTTAGCTAATGGCATTTTGATTGATTTAGCTTACTCTGCTAGGAGCACCAGAACTAATACTCTATGAGTGAAATATATATTTTTGGCACCATAGCCAAATTTGTTATTTTGCATTTCTGAAATTTTAATATAATTAAATGTGATGAAATGCAGTGAAAATATTGTTGACCTTGAAAAAAAGGCTAAATTAGCAGAAAGCATTTCTGCTACATTCATGACTAATACTGTCCCATATATTACACAAGCTGGGGTGACTGAGTCAACTGTCTCTGATGGATCTTCTTGGACTCAACAATATCAATCTACTTCCCAGTCATGTGGTTTATCTTATTCTTCAGCTTCTCAATGGGAAACCATGCCAGGTACTGTTTTTCCTTTAGGGGGTTGTCGAAATGATGTTAGTGAGTCCAATTCAATGACTAGCCTGGGGACAAATGGCGATCTCCTGTTATCTTTTGGCCATACTTCAATGCAGCAGCAACAGAGTTTATCTAGTGATACTAATTTGGAATTGATTGACAATTTTGCTAACCCTTGTCAAGAGTTTGTGATGGGTATGGATGGTCAAAGGAGCCACCTATACCGTGATGAAGCACTGGCAACCCAAGGTGTATGGGCGGCACATCCTGATACGATGGTACACTCTTCAACTGATACTGGACGTTCAGATGTACAGCTGCCCATGACACAGACTACTACTGTTCCGCTGCCTGCTCCGAGATTGTCCAAGGGGCCCAACTCATTATTTATTGGAACAGAGCTTAAGAAGGTTGACCTACATCATACAGGTATGCGGATGCCCTTGACACAGACTACTGTTCAGCTGCCTGCTCCGTGCTTGTCCAAGGACCCCAACTCATCATTTATTGGAGCAGAGGTTCAGAAGGTTGACCAAAATCATTCAGATATGCAGCTTCCCTTGACACAGACTAGTCATGTTCAGCTGCCTGCTATGAACTTGTCCGAGTACCCGACCTCGTCATTTGTTGGAGGAACAAAGCTTAAGAAAGTTGACAAACATGATTCGTATATGCAGCTTCCCATGACACATGCTAGTCATGTTCCGCTGCCTGCTACGAGCTTGTCCGAGGATCCGAAGTCATCATTTATTGGAGGAACAGAGCTTAAGGCAGTTAACAAACATGATTCAGACATGCAGCTTCCCAGGATACAGGCTAGTCATGTTCCACTGCCTGCTGTGAGCTTGTCTGAGGAACCGAACTCATCCTTTATTGGAGGCACAGAGCTTAAGGAAGTTGGCAAACATGATTCAGATATGCCGCTTCCCATGACACAGGCTAGTCATGTTCCGCTGCCTGCTGTGCGCTTATCTGAGGACACGAAATCATCATTTATCGCAGGAGCAGAGCTTAAGGAAGTTGACAAACATGATTCAGATACACCGCTTCCCATGGCACAGGCTAGTCATGTTCCGCTGCCTACCATGAGCTTACCTGAGGATACGAAATCGTCATTTATTGGAGGAACAGAGCTTAAGGAAGTTGACAAACATGATTCAGATATGCAGCCTCCCATAACACCGGCTAGTCATGCTCCACTGCCTGCTGTGAGCTTGTCCGAGGACCCAAAATCATCATTTACTGGAGGTACAGAGCTTAAGGAAGTTGGCAAACATGATTCAGATATGCAGCATCCCATGACACCTGCTAGTCATGTTCTGCTGCCTTCTGTGAGCATGTCCAGGGATCCAAAATCATCATTTACCGGAGGTACAGAGCTTAAGGAAGTTGGCAAACATGATTCAGATATGCAGCTTTCCATGACGCAGACTGTTCATGTTCATCTGCCTACTCCGAGCTTGTCCAAGGACTCCGAGTCATCATTTGTTGGAGGAACAGAGCTTGAGGAAGTCGACAAACATGATTCAGATATGCAGCCTCCTAGGACGCAGGCTAGTCATGTTCCGCTGCCTGCTGTGAGCTTGTCTGAGGACCCGAACTCATCCTTTATTGGAGGTACAGAGCTTAAGGAAGTCGGCAAACATGATTCAGATATTCAGCTTCCCATCACACAGACTGTTTGTGTTCAGCTGCCTGCTATGAGCTTATCCGAGGATCCGAAATCATCATTTATCAAAGGAACAGAGCTTAAGGAAGTTGACAAAGATGATTCAGATATACCGCTTCCCGTGGCACAGGCTAGGCATGTTCCACTGCCTACCATGAGCTTACCTGAGGACACGAAATCGTCATTTATTGGAGGAACAGAGCTTAAGGAAGTTGACAAACATGATTCAGATATGCAGCCTCCCATAACACCGGCTAGTCATGTTCCACTGCCTGCTGTGAGCTTGTCCGAGGACCCAAAATCATCATTTACTGGAGGTACAGAGCTTAAGGAAGTTGCCAAACATGATTCAGATATGCAGCTTCCCATGACGCAGACTGTTCGTCTTCGGCTGCATGCTCCGAGCATGTCCAAGGACTCTGAGTTGTCATTTGTTGGAGGAACAGAGCTTAAGGAAGTCGACAAACATGATTCAGATATGCAGCCTCCCATGACGCAGGCTAGTCTTGTTCCGCTGCCTGCTGTGAGCTTGTCCGAGGACCCGAACTCATCCTTTATTGGAGGTACAGAGCTTAAGCAAGTCGACAAACATGATTCAGATATGCAGCCTCCCATGACGCAGACTAGTCTTGTTCCGCTGCCTGCTGTGAGCTTGTCCGAGGACCCTAACTCATCCTTTATTGGAGGTACAGAGCTTAAGGAAGTTGGCAAACATGATTCAGATATTCAGCCTCCCATGACACAGACTGTTCGTGTTCAGCTGCCTGCGATGAGCTTATCCGAGGATCCAAAATCATCATTTATCAAAGGAACAGAGCTTAAGGAAGTTGACAAACATGATTTGGGTATACCGCTTCCCATGGCACAGGCTGGTCTTGTTCCGCTGCCTACCGTGAGCTTACCCGAGGACACGAAATCCTCATTTATTGGAGGAACAGAGCTTAAGGAAGTTGACAAACATGATTCAGATATGCAACCTCCCATAACACCGGCTATTCATGTTCTGCTGCCTGCTGTGAGCTTGTCCGAGGACCCGAAATCATCATTTACTGGAGGTACAGAGCTTAAGGAAGTTGGCAAACATGATTCAGATATGCAGCTTCCCATGACGCACACTGTTCGTGTTCAGCTGCCTGCTCCGAGCTTGTCGAAGGACCCCGACTCGGCATTTGTTGGAAGAACAGAGCTTAAGAAGGTTGGCCACATTGGATATCCTCAGCAAAGTATCCTGCTCTCAGCAAGCAAACCTTCACACCCAATCGGTTTGCCAGTTATCAAGTTTGATGACGAGGTGGGTTCACGGTCAAAGAAGCGGAAAAGGTCAACAGAAGATGTTTTAGCATCGCATGCACAAGCCATGTTCGAGGGTGGGAGACTGCAATGTAGAAGGTGATTGCTGTGAACTAGAAAATTGTCCTTACACAAAATCATATTTATTTTGCAGGAATCGTGTATTTGGGCTAATGCATGTTCAAGAGGCTAATGCATGCTTTGTGTTTTCTGTATGCAGGACACCTGAGTTGGCTTGGGCTGATGCCACATTGACTGAGAAGGTTGTACACTTGTATACCTCACATATTGCATGAAAACGCCTGTTGTCGCCACATCAATTTCATATAGACTGACAAGCTTATCATGCATAACAGGTTGACGGTGAAAAAGCAACGTCGGAAAATAGCACCTTCGTTTCTCGAGCTCAGAGAAGACTTACTTTAACGACCAGCTTGATTCAGTGTCTCCTTCCTGCTCTGTCAGCGAGACTTCTTGCAGCAAAAGTTGCTGATTGCGGTGAAGCCATTGTGTACCACATTTGTAAACTGGTGCTCAGTGATATGTCTGACCCAGTTCAATCTTTTGTCAGCGACACCAACAACTTCATGCAAAGTGAAAACATGTAAGCATCTTTTACTTTTGAATGTTATCCCAGTTTAACATACCAGCTACCCTCCTGATTTTTAGTGCCTTAGGAGCGGGTTATGCAAAAATCTAGCTGAAAATATCTGAGTTCGGTCAAAGCGCTACAACCCTTTCATAACCAGCAATTTCTTTCTTTCTGGTTTCCATGAAGAGTTTGCACGACTCCGTGTTGCACTGACTTTGAGAGTCTTCATCTTGTGATTTTTTGCCAGGCCACCGAACGAGACAAGCACCTCCGGAAAGGAGGACCGTAAACTCTTATCTGAAGTTCTGGAAACCTTCGATGTGAGGCTTGGCGGGCTACAAAGCTCCTTGTCAAGGTATGGTGATACTTCAGTTACAGCTCGAAAGATTGCCTCTAGCATTTTCAGTAGAACATGATGCTCTAGACGCCGGTGCCGTCAACCTATTCATAGTTTTGCTGTTTTAATGCCTGCCCTCCCCTGTTTGTCTCAGAATCGAGAATATGCCCAGCTTCCAAGACTACGCGGCAGCGCTACACCAAATCGAGCAGTGGTCCATGACTCATCAGTTCATAAAGCTGAACGAATACAAGAGATTGCATGCCGGCTACGGCTCGGGTCCTAAAAGGCCTCTTTGCGTCGGAGCCATCCGGAAGCATGCCGGAGGATCTTCCGCGCCGGTCTCAGAGCTGAAAAGGATTCGGTGTCGCTCACTCAAGTAGCCGCTCGCTCGCGCACCGACTCGCCCCTAAGGAAAAAAGTGGAGTTGCTCGGTGACTTGAGGAGTAATGTGGTCATACTGATGATGTAGCGAGGAGTTAGGAGGGTATTATGTAGGAGTTAACTTCGTGTGAAGTAGTGTATTTTGGGGTGGGGTGCAGGGACGGGACGTGTTGTGTCCATGTCATTTGGCAAACAGGGCAGGAATGTGCTTCTGAACTGAGACGGTGTCCGGGCCCCCGTGCACCGCCTTGTCCGGCGGTGCCAAATGACGCGCCGATGGCTGTCGTCGCCGGAGAAAACGGCCCGGCTGTGGCGGGGTTTCCGTGAGTTGAGCTAGTGTGACTGTGTGAGTGTTGGTGTTGATAGAGGAAGAGACCTTCCCAGCTGCAGCTGCTCCAACTGCACGTCAGGATTAACGCAAGTTCTTGCTCTGTATGGGCTATGTTACATTGTAGTCACACTGAAGCTCCTGAAACTAGGTCTCGCACTCGCGCAGGTGCAGGCGCCGCCGCCGCCGGCTGATCTCTTCCCTCCGGCCACTTCAGGTCCAGCCAAGCATAGATCCGGGACCCTCCCTGCGTCCTCTCTCCATCCATCCCGAAGCCCGGTGCCGTCTTCGCCGGCCCTCTCCCCGCGGAGGAGTTCGAGTTCGGCCCTCCCCCTCTTCCTGTCCCGCTCCTGTGCGGCCATGCCGGGCCGCACCGGGGCGCCCCTGCGGGCTCGAGCAGCCCCCCCTGCGCCTTCCTCTCCTCTCGCCGCCGCCGGAGGCGTCGCCGGGCAAAGCCTTGGCGGCGCGGCGGCGGCGGGATCCCTTGATCGCCGTTCTCGACAGCGGGGGCGGCGCTGCTCCGCTGCTCCAGGCGGTGATGCTGCGGGACGGTGGTGGCTGGCCGTGGCTGGGCGTGCTCGGCTCGGCCGGACTTGGTGCTTAGTCGGGTGCTGCTCGACGGGCTCGCTCCAGCGCAGGCTGGCGCGGCTTCGGCGGTGGGTGGGCGCGGCCAAGCGTGGACCTGGTGTGGCGATGTGCGGCGCCACGGTCCCCGCGGGATAGTGGTGCTCGGCCCGGCAGTGTCTTGGTGGTGCTCCAGCAGCTCCTGGTGCTGTGGATCCGGCGGATGGCGGGGGGGCGGCAGCTTCGGGCGTGCGTGGCTGGCTCTGGCCGGCCCTGGGTTCTCCGGATCTGGCTGCTTCGTTGCGGCGAGAGGCTGTTTGGTGGTCCGGCCGGGCTTGGGCTCGGCAGACAGTGTGGCAACGCCGGGCGAAAGCTCTGCCTCGGGCTTCTGGCCGGGGCCGGCGACGGCGACACACTCGGAGGCCGCGCTCTTCTTGAAGACGTCGTCGAGGTGTGCTGTCTGCCCTGCTCGTGTCTCCGGTCGGTGAGACCAGTGGTGTGATGGTGGCTTCTGCTTGGCCATGGCGCGATGGCTTCGTGGGAGGTGTGCGGGTCAGCGGAGGTGCAGTGCATGAGGGTGTGGTGTTGGGCGGTGCTCCGGGCGAAGGCTTGCCGGGTTTCTACCGGCCGACGGTGTCGGCGTCTGCGGATGTCGTGTCACCTTCTTGGAGGCGCCGTCGTGGAGTCCACCCCCTGCACATCCTCGGTTCCAGCTCTTCGGGTGAAAGCCTAAGGCCCAGTCGGGTCAGGCGACGGCGTCGGCATCGTCGCTTCCTCCTTTGGGGCGTCGCCTTGAAGAGCATTGGATCCCGTTTGCACTTTCCTTGGGCTGGACGCTCACGACATTGCGGTCGGCGGCTGTCTGTCCGGCAATGTGGATGTTGCGCGACTTCTAGTGTGGCAACGATCACGGCTTCGAGCGAAGTTGGGCGGCTGCTGAGCTTTGGTAGTCGGTCTCATCCGGCGTGTTCGAGGGGTTGCCGGGCCTCATTTGTCTTCCTGAAGTCGGAGCTGCAGAGGAGGTGCTTTCGCGGCAACGATGACATGAGACGAGTGGTCGGCTCCGGTGCTGGCTCGACGCAGGCCCAACGCTTTCCCCCTACAATGCTCGTCGACAGAGTCAGAGCTGCCTGGTCGTCGGCGTGTGCGGTGGACTGTTTGGCATCGACCGACGCAGGCCTCGACGCTTGTTCGTGGTTTTCTCTTCGACGGCGTGTGTGCGGTCTTGTGTGGGTTGCCAGGTCGCCCTGTGTGCCTTGTTTTTGCGGGTATGTTGTCAATTTTCGCCCGGTTTTCCGTTAATTAACTGGGCACCTCTCTTCGACCTTTTTTTAATGAATCAGGCTTTAAGGGACCGCGTTTCAAAAAAAAAACACTGACTTGACAAAAAAAGATGCTGGGCTTCCAACCGCACCTCAGGATTAACGCAAGTTCTTGCTCTATATGGCATGTCGTACCTGATACCTGATAGGGCATGAATCTTGTTTTTGGTTTCACCGGTGCTACGCAAAAAAACTTATTTTTCTTGACGAGCAACGGCAGTTTTTTTTTTTTGAAAATGGTGGCTATCCCTCAGCTTGAACGATGCATGTGGTCATCTTATTAATAAGCAAAAGGTTCAACAAAGTCTCCAGGTATCAAAAAGGTACAAAGGCTCACAAAGAGCAAGAATAACATTAATAAGCAAAAGGTTCAACAAAATCTCCAGGTATCAAAAAGGTACAAAGGCCCACAAAGAGCAAGAATAACATGAAACAGGATAGCCCAACCGGCGAAATAAAAGTAGATAGGAAACTAAACACCTATCCTATTACATGACCGTCATCCAAACCGGTTGAAAATAGTCCGTGCTATCGTCTCTCACCGGATAGGCCCAGTAACCATACGCTCCCTCACATCTGTCGGAATGAGTAACGATCACATACGGAACAAAGGTGATTTCAAATAAATAGCAAAGCAAATAAAAATCTATTTATTTGAAATTACCATTCACGGAATCGCTGCACTCGACATCATTTGTGTTTTGTGTTCCTTTTGACACTTTTAATGCTAGATTTATCATTTTTGTCTTTCAACATGTGTTTAGAATTTTGATCTCAAATTTTTAGAAGGTATAGACACATGTCTTTCGAACATTCAGATTCTTTGTTAGATTTTTTTGAAACAATTGAATGTAACTTTTCAAATTCTAAAGCTGTAGCGATCAGACCTCAAACAGTCCAGTCTTTGTGCATCAATGTCATTTCTGGATCGGTAATGCTGACACGCACAATATTTGAGGATTTATAACAGAGTTTCAATCACACACTTATTACATCGAATGTCTTAAAAGAGAACTTAATACAATAATATGGCTTAAGGCCATCTAAATAAGATAACCGCGGAAGGCTTGTAAGATAAAGTGAGTCCACCAACTCCAACGGCATAGCTGAGTGAACGACAATGACCTATGGCACCTTACTCGTCGTCTGAAAAGTCTGTAACATGAAATGTTGCAGCCCAAAATGGGTCAGCACATGGAATATGCTGGCAATGTAACACATAGAGTAATGAACAGAATCAATGCTATCACTACATGCATATATGGCTGGTGAAAAGCTCTATGGTTACTGTTTTTGCATAAAGCCAATTTTTTTCCTACATCAAGGGAATAAATTTCATTTAACTATCATGGTGGTTGTTAAACATTGAGAAGGTTCCTCCAACTCAATCTCAATTAAGCAATATCAATAAACCCAACAAATTATTTTAGAGTGATGAGATCAACATGATAATTCAAGAACCAGATACTCAAGATGTCCATAACCGGGGACACGGCTAACCATGATTAGTTTGTACACTCTACAACACACTTTTCCCCACAAGACTCGATCTCCTCCGTTGGATTTCTCGCACTACATGGTGTTTGAGAAACAGATGACCGAGACACAGTCTTTCAGAAACATTAACTCTTTACTCTGGATGGACAGTTACACCTACTTTCCCCTACATCTGCTAGCCCACCACTGAAAGAGGTCATGCAACCTACTCAACTATGCTAGAGCCCATAATAGCTTGTGGCTGCACACGGAAGTTTCTAACATGAATAATCTTATGATCCCTTTGAGCCTGGGTGGCATTCCATAGGATGATCACACGGGTACCCCGGGATCCCCTTGAGCAAGCACTGGGTTTTCCAGGTGCCCTGACAACCACTGGGTACTCCAGGGTGTCTCAACCATTCCACCCAGATGTGTATTTAAGTAGCCACCTTAAGTTAACCATTAATTAACAATACTCACATCTGTCATGGATACACTCACCCAAACCATGTCTACGAGCATAGCATAGCAATCCTGAGCATGTCATAGAAATAACTCCCAAAGGTTTGATAATAAAAGGGCAATATGTTCTACCTCATTATCTACTTTCCAAACCCACATGTTAAAACAGATCCTAACAATGCAATGTTTGAGGGTTGTATCTAATGCATAAAAACTGGGTAATAAAGGGATATGATCAAAGTGTTACTTGCCTTGCTGATGATCTACAAAAGCTAAAGACTCGTAGTAGCACGCTTCGCACTCCGGGTGTTCTATCGCAAGCAAACAAAGCATACATAAGCAATCAACTAGATGCATGGGTAAAACTCAAATAAGAAGATCTAACCAGAAAGTTCAACTGAAGAACTCCAATTTGCAAAAATAATCAAATCAAACGGAGCAACGAAACTAAAACTACGAAAGAAACAAGATCCATTTACTAATCTGGACTAAAGTCAAATTTTACAGTACCAAAATCTTGTTCAAATTGGTTAAACAGAAAGAGGGCTTCGAGACGAAGATCTAGGCGCTTGTTTCATCTAATTCGGATAAACGAGCGAAAAGATAAACTAGAACGAAGATCAGGACAGAAATCGCGATCTAAAATAATCGCGGAAAAACCCTGAAAAAATAAAACGAGACAAACAGGCTAACGAACGAACGTTCGCTATCTGTGACTAACTGACGAACAACGTTCGTTAAAACGAACGTATGGATGAACGTCCGCAAAATAACTAAACCGAAAAAACCGAACCGATCTTAAAAAATACTAGATCTAGGTTTCGAAAAAAAACGATAGTTTTCG